TCCATTTTCGTTTATGATTTTGTAATTATTGATCTTTCATTGAAATCATTTCGCCGACTATGCATTCATTACACTACCTACCCCTTCTTTCGATTTCACTTTACACATCTACATATATATGCATGCACATACTTACTGCAAGCAAATCATAAGAAAGAAAATTGATCATTTAAAAATGAGATTGTTAATGTTTTTTGCAGGAAATAAAATGAAAATGATCAATTTTTTTCTTTTTCAATCTGGTCTATAAGTGTTCATTAAACTGTGTTCTCTTTTCTTCACAATTATCTATTATTATTATGATGATGATGATGATTATAAACATAAATACACGTATACAAACGCACATTCTTATTATCGCTTCAAATCTAAGGGGATGAAAAGATAGACTGTTAAATAGGACATAATGATGAACTAACAAAATAAATGTGGTATGAGATATTGAGGCGATCTGTACTCATATTCTAGTATGTAGGTAGATGCAGATTATATGAGAGTGAATAAATGAAATGCATTTCAAAGCCTTATCGAAGTGTAAACCCTATCAGGCTGTGTGATTGCCTCACTTGATCTTACATAAGATATTAACAATTCATCATACAGACACACACATATATACGCACACTTTTAAAAAAAACTGGTAAATCACAAGGAACAACATCCTCTGACCGTGACTTTGTCTTTTTCTATAGATAAAAAAAAATAGAGAAAAAGAAAACAATAACAACTATTTTTGTTCATTTGATGTGCGTGACATAAAACCATTTTTAATCAGCTTTTCACTATATTTTTTTTATTGCATAAAATTGTTTGTTTTTTTTTTCTGCCTGGGAGTAAGTAACCAAAATTACCATATAACGACACCAATATATAAGAACGAAACAGAATAATAAAAAAAACACACAAAATTAGAAAAGTAGCAAGAAGAGAAGTGATAAATCAGTGAGTGATATACGAAACAAAAAAAAATTAAACAAGAACTGGTGGAGTAAAGTATGAGGTTGTTCTTTTTATTATTTTTTTTAATGTATTTTTTTTCAGTTTTTTGTTATCGTTGTTACCTCTGTTAATGGATTATATGGATTTGTATTTTTTAGTTTATTTAATATGTGAAAAAATTGATGACAAGTGAAAATAGATAAAAATATATAAATATAGATTTGTTATTATTATTTTTAAAAAAAAATAAATTACTACTTTATTGTTTTGACAGGGTAACAATCTCAATCTCAATCTGCTTTTTGTTTGTCGTACACTCTTATGATTCTTGCTATTTTCAACAAAGTGTAAATATGAGAACTGTCAACTATAGTAGGAAATTAACTAATGGTAAAAATTAAATTTTCACGTAATCATTTCGTTTTCAGGCAGAGTTTTGAAGGTTTGTGTTTTTACACATTTGAAATGATCAATCAGTCATTGTTCAACCCTGTCGGGTGTAGGCAGTAACTAACAAGCACAAATGGATGAGGTCGCACAGTATTCCTTGACCAATCAAAGTTATACATTAGGTTAGGCGTTCGTGCACAATACCGAAGGTCCCGGGTTCGAATCCTGCGAGGAGCAGGAGTCGTGGGTGCGCACTGCTGATGAGTCCCATACCAGGACGAGACGGCCGTCCAGTACTTCCAAGTCTCTAATGGTGGTCTAACAATGATTGATTGGTGATTTCAAATGTGTAGAAGTCATTTAGTTGTTTTTTTATTCAATTAGTTAATGGTGATTCAGTGTGTTTTTTATCATCTTGTTTATTCATTATGCACTGTACCGCTTGTCAAAGATCAGTGATCAATTAAATCCTTGCAATATAGCATGATTGAGTAAAGAATAACATTTATTGAAAATGAAATATCCAAGGTACATGATAAATAAAAACCCCTCTGAGAAAGAATTATGCATTTAGTTCAGAGAGCACTGCTTTTAGGAAGAGTTCATGTCATACTGAAACATTTAAGTGAGATCAATAATTGATTTAAAATAATCAGTTCAATATTGAAAAAAGTTAATTTTAAACATAAAATGAAATAAGGTTCCAAATTTTATTAGTGATGCTATTTTGAAATAAGTAGTTTTATTGATGTTGAATCTAATAGATAATGCCTACTGATGTAACACAACTGTCTGCGAACATTATAATACACTTATTCTAGTTGATGATCTATGAAAGAGATCAAACTACAACAATATTCAATTATTTGGTTGAACGGTTATTTTTCTCAAGTGAATTAGTCTTTCCAGATCTAAATATATGGATGATTTCAATTTCATACATCTTGACCACTTGCTTAGTTTAAATAAATCAGGAAGAATAAGATTTTCAAAACAACATAAATTCACTATATTTCAAGGTTTTGCAATTAGAGTTGTAGAGATCATTGTTTTTACACATTTGAAATCATCAATCAGTCATTTTTAGACTACCATTAGAAACCTGGAAGTACTGGACGGCCGTTTCGTCCTGGTATGGGACTCATTAGCAATGCGCATCCAAGACTCCTGCACCTCGCAGGATTCGAACCCGGGACCATCGGTCTTGCGCGTGAACGCCTAACCACTGGGCCGACATCCAATGGTGTTACTGTCTAACTCTGAATGATCAAGGAATATTGCGCGACCTCATCCATTTGTATTTGGTAGTTACTGCCCAAACCCGACAGGGTTGAACTCCACTGGTAACGTTTCTTCATTAGAACTCCAAGAATTCCCTCAAGAAGCTAGTCACTAGTAAGCACATTTAACGATTTTTAAATTACAGTTATGGAGACCATTGCTGATGAGTGCCATACCAGGACGAAAAGACCATCCAGTGATTCCAGGTTTCTAATGGTGGTCTAACAATGATTGATTGATGATTTCAAATTTCAATATATATATATATATATATATATATATATATATATATATATATATATATATATATATATATATATATATATATATATATATATATATATATATATATATATATATAGCTACTTTTATACGAAAGTGTGTCTGACAAAAGAACCAATCAACTGAAATGGTATCTTCAAAAATTGTTATAGAAGATACAGGGGTTTGTGATGACACATTCCAATTATTAAAATGTTGATCCGAATATTTATAATAATACACTGTGATGTAAGAAAAGTAGCTTATAAAATAGATTTTCGAAACCATTCTCATCAAATAAACTGATGTAAAGAAACCATAAAATTGACACAATAAACTCTCTTTTTTTGTAAGTAAAATGACACCTACTACTAACATGTATGAACACGGGTTTCACCGGATCACACTAAATAGAACCAGATCAACCACGTCTGAATAAATAAACGTTCAGAACAACCGCGGAATATGTTAACACAAAGAGAGAAGCTGATATAGCTTCAGATCATCACCCGACCTTCGCCAAGCCGAAACTGAAGATAAAGAGACATAGTACAATTAAGCAGAAATACAGATGTTTAGTACGATCTTCCTTCGTGACACTAGCAAATTCAACTCTCAGCTGTTTGTTTCAAGCCTTGCACTATCTACTCAATGAAGCAGAAAAAGCCATGGAGAAAAACTGGCAAGGGATTAAAGGGACATTAATTTTAACATGTCATGAGGTTTTGGGCCACCACAGGTACTATCAGAGGGAATAGATCTCTGTTGATACTGTAGATAATATTCAAGTAAAGAAGAATAGGAGGACAGCAGTATATAACAGACGAACACGAGCAGAGGAAACCAAGGCACAAGCTGAATACACAGAAACAGACAAGCAAATAAAGCTAAGCATTAGAGCTGATAAACGGAAAAATGTGGAAGATCTAGCAACAATTTCAGAAGTTGCAAGAGAAGGAAATATGAGACAACTATATGACACAGTGAATAAGCTACTCAGACATTATAATCAATAAGTAATTTTAGACGTTTCATCTCTCAAACTCAGTGCTTTGTATATCTGACAACAATGATCACTTTACGGTACATTGACTAAAAAATACATGATATCTTGATTTGTTACTATTACGTTTCAGTCCTACAGGAGACCTTTCATGGCCAAAATAGTTGAGCATCTCATGACACATGGTCGGATCTGCCAGAAAGCATCAGTCTCCTCAAGATTACAAGTATGCCTCGCTAATGAGTGACAAATAGCACGAAACCTATTGCACAGATTTCCTGTCGACTATTTCCAAACACCACCTTACAAACACAACATGAATCTGTGAACGAGCGTTCGAAATGATAGAGTTTATTCAACTGATGACTGCTTAATTAAATGTAGTTAGTGATGCATGCTGTCACTTCGTATAAATATTAGAACAACTAAACAGCAGAAATCGTTTTTCTAGACAAGTAAAACTATTATATGCATAATATTAAACATGAAAATAAGCATAATTTTGTAGTTTGAACCAGTTGACCATAAATTACGGGCCATTATATACCAGCCAGACAAATTAAGATTTAATTTTTGTTCAGCATCTACGTTTGCCAAATTTTTAAAAATTGATGTTGATCTTATATGTTTTACTGGAAAGAAATTGTAGCAAAAATCAAACTTCAAATTTTGTATTAAATGCATGCATGAATCATATATTTCAGTCAACTTAGATCATCTATTAAAATATTCTTTTATATAAATCTGAACAATGCGATCAACATAATTATTTATCACAATCGGTTACAAGAATAATTTCCTAGGTATCTTTAACTGATTAATTTGTATTGGTTGTTTTGCACAAGCGAGTGGCTGTCGGGATATAGTAGTTAAATGAGTAATGCTCTGGAGTTTTAAGTGAAAGGTACTGGGTTTTAGCCCTGTGGTGAACATCAACTCTAGGATGCATGTAAATTCAGCTGACGAGTCCCAAAATAGGAGAAAATGGGGAACCTGGATTCCACAACTAGTCACCAGTCCTCTCTTCAAATTATCTTTAACTAATTTCGATAATCAAAAATCATTATTTTATCGAATCATTATGTTCAGGGAATGAAGTTAAAATGCAATGGTAATTTTTATTCAGGTTTGGTTTCAAAATCGTCGAGCCAAATGGAAGAAACGGAAAAAATCAGGAACTCCATTCCGTTTAACAATTAATAGCAATTCATTAACGAAGAACATAAGCCTAACAACGAACAGCTCAATGAAAAATATGATAAACGGTGACAATAATTACGATAATACCGCCAACAATAATAACTATAATCCTTATTTACAACAACCAGTACCAACAGCACAAACAGGTAATTCAGATGGTTTAAACTACTCAAGGCTGGAAATTAATCCCAACAATAGTTTGTTCATACAGAGTCCAACTACTTATTTTAGCAATAGTAGTTCAAATGCAAATGGTTCATTATTTGAACATCCCCAGTCAAGTCCAAGTAAATTTCAAGCAAATTCATATCCATTTTTCTCACAGTTAGAGCATATTACAGATAATATGAAAATGAATTCATACTTTGGTGAATCAAATTCTGTTCAACAATTTGATCGAATCTTACAACAACGTTTAGGGCTGCCGCAAATGAATAATATCTCAGAAGTTAGTACTTTAAATCAAACTGTAAATGAAAACGATTTACAAAATGATAAACAGAATATTCATACAGTACAAGGTTTGCATAAAAAAATTGGTAAGTATTTCATTACTTTTACTGTTGTATGTGAACCCGGTGAATTTTTGTGAGATTTTTCAGGATTTATTGTCTCTACTTTATCAAAACAAAGTCATAGTTATCTTGCAAATCTCTAGTACTTTATTTAGTCCATAGAAATGCTGATTAGATGTTATGTGATTTTAGTTCAAAGGTGATAATATACAATTTATACACATGGTAGACTGTAGTTCAGTGACAAAATTCAAATTGCCGCTGTATATGCGTTCGTATTTTCGACAAATTTACAGATTTCACAGTTCACAAACCCATTCATTTTTATTGGTACATTGAATTTTTGCAAAATTAGTTAAAATCTCTAAGAGTAGTTGTTGAGATTTATTCTGTTCTGGCAACTAGTTGATTTTCGAACTAATTGTGTTGTATAAACCAATTAATTATTTGTTGTCTTTTTATTTCAGATTCTTTACTCACAAAGCAACTCAACAGTATGAATCAATATGAACAAAATAAAAAATTTTCAACACATGAATTTAATCTCATTCCCACAACGAATTCATCTTGTTTATTAAAGAATTCCAATGCACTTATTACTACTATACCATCAAATTCAATCAGTCAAAATTCTTTAAATATGGATTCAAGGAATTTTCATTGTACCGTAAATGCAACTACTACTACTAATAATAATAATAGTAGTAATAATAGTGATGACATTAATACAACAACAGCAGAACAATCGAATGCATTATCTAATTTCATGTTAACTAAAATATCAACAGATGGATTAAATAATTTTATTAATTCAAAAACAAATTTTTAATTAATTTCTTACAAATGTCAATAAGTTTCATTTGAAATTTTCTCTATGAAAATGATTGAAATAATTCAGTAAATTAGATATTGACAAATAACATACAAGGGAAATTAATGTACATGAATACTGGGGAAGTCAAGTGTACTTTATAAAACAAGGAATTTAAAAATTTAATGAAACATCGGTCAACTTTGTATTTATCCATTAGCATTAACCTGCGAGTTCTTTCTTGGAAGCGGATAGGTGTGAGGAATAGTAAATCATTATCAATATATAATAGAAATGGTACAATTTCTTTACAAACACTTTCACTTCATCTACGCACGGACATACAAACAATACACCTCACCATGGATCAGCACCTTATATATATATATATATATATATATAACTCTTGTGGATCAATTAATATAAAATAAAGATGTTTGACGACGTCAAACGTACTGTGTACAGATCAAAAGTCGTGTTCATGTAAATAATATTATGAAAATAAATTTATATTCACTTTCTTGTTGTTATTTCATTTTGTTATTAACAAGGCACAATAAAATCTTGTTGAAAATTGAGGAAACTTTTCAATAGGAGTCGACTGAGGCGGGAATTTTTCTACTCTGTATTTTATGCATGCTGTCGTCTGGTTGGAACCAAATTGTCATCATCCACTATTGCAGACACAACTTATTCACTTCTACAATGTACTTCAGATTTCTTAAAATATATATAAACAAAAGCAGTTCTCCTTTACAGTTACACGTCAAGTGAGCACTCGTATTAGTAAACTGAAAACTAAGACAAAACGACTGGATATCATTTATATTTTCTTTTAAAAGGATATTTAAGCTTTAGCTAGAATGTTAGACATCCTTAAGGATAAAAATAATATATCTTGAAAATAAACATGACGACAAATATCGATATATTCTGCACTAATAATAAAATAATGAGTTTCAGGATAGCCTAATAAATAGAAATTTGGATTCCTGACGTTCGGTGAAAGAATGTAAGCCACTTCATCAGAGTAAATAAATATCACGAAGAAAATAATTATCTTATTATTACTAACATTATACCCAATGCTCAATTCAATTCAAACTATCAAGTCCAACCTTGGTATCGATACACCCAAAATCATTAATAATCGAATATATTCTGTGAGTTATTTTTTTACCGTATAGACGTCAGCTATTTTTGGAAATTAAGTAAATATGGGTGGAATAAAAACGCTTATTCGACAAAATACGAAGTACCAAACAATGTCTTTGAATTTATTCGTGAAAAAATAAATATTGTTCATAATCAATATGCAGATGTATGAAGAAACGATTCTAGGAATACATATACTCTTTATTTACTAATCACGCTGGTATTTGACTCGCATCTTTATTTCATCTAAAACTTCCTCCACAATTTGAATTATTCATCAATTAATCAGTTAAATAGTGAAATATACAAACAAATATATCAATAAACAAGATATTGGAAACTTTGACCAAGAATATAAAACATTAAGTTAAAACAGAGTGAATATTGAATAATACTACATTACATACTCTTCGCAAATACAAAAATACCGTTAATTTTGATCAAATTAAAAATCTGAAAGACTTTTAGCTTGTAAGTAATGAGAAATCCATTTCATAATTTCTGATTAATATCGGCCCATTCATTAGACAACAATTAATCTCGTAGAACGTATGCAATTAGTTTTTTGTTGTATCAGCAAATGGAGACACTAGAATTCTCATGATCACCAAGATTCATAGATAAAGACCTTACATGATATAGTTTAAAATAGATTGTAGCGGAATATACATATCCATCATTTGTTTTTATTTTATTTCATACTTCCTATTCAATTTCACTCACTTTTCTAAAAAAGAAGTTATGCTAACTAAAATAACTATGTGTGCTGGGCGGGGGTCTATTGTAAGTGATCTATTCGTCTGACCAATGTCAACATCTACAGGTTTCTATTAGAGTCAGCCCTCAGTTACTAAAAGTGTTGCAATCAAGCTGCCTAATAATATTCATACAACATCAAATAGTTAAATTGTCGTTAAATCTTTATAATTTTATTATGACTTGCTAGAAACATTAATACAGCCTATACTTTTATAACAGACATCCTAAATTACCACAAGGTTTATAAGCGGGATTTTTTTAATATAAACAAATCCATCTATTGTTGATATAATATTCTTCAATTAATATAATATTTATTTACATTTTTGAAAGACTAGTAATCATATTTCGAACATATATTTAAGTAGTTACTATTAGTAGTCTCAAAACAATATACTATCGTTATCCAATGAGCTCAAAACGATGAAAACCGGGAATACAACTGTATTTTGGAGTCAGTCACTTCTAGATTAATCTAGTTTTAGAACCGTATTGTTGGTAGATTAGTCTTATTAACTTAATACCGCAGACTAGCCGTCAGTGAAGTATAAATCGATCACGTAAGCCGATTACAAAATTTGATGTTACTGACAAAGGTTTATTGAATGTGAAAATCAGTTGCATGTTATCAACTTTATTTGACTTTATTCACTAGTGATATCTGAATACAATCTTTATAATGAATAGTTATTACAGAACGAGGTTTGGATAAATATTACTAAATCAAAGTATTAAAGTTACCTCTAATAATGTATAGGGGGCGTTAGATCCCCAGAACTCACTCAGAAAATTTTGTAATTTATTACTGAAATTTTTAATTTCCATGTTTTTGCGCCAAGAGACGCTTAGTTGAACTACAGCTTACATTTCCCACTCGGAAATTCTTGATTGTCACTGATTGATGGATTATTTTAGTACGCTATTTTGTGCCTCTCTCAAAGGCGCTTTTATAATTGTATATATAAGCTTGATTTGTGAGCTTAGCAACCTCGTATTTCTGAATGGTTGTAGAATACATTCTCTACTTCTTATCAAAACTTCATGCCCTAGTTAGCAGGGCCAAGGACAACTGGATTAGAATAGACTATTGTGTCAGTGTATCATTTATCTGCGTTCCGTTTACCGAGTAAGGTGAACTAGTAATAGCATTCAAGCATATCGATTGACGAGCATATCATAATGATAATAATTAGGAAAAAGACGGCTATCTTCCTAAAGATACATTGAATTCAGTTTGTTCCTATGAAATACTCGAAATCTCAAGATTCAAATGATTGGAGCTAACTTTGTTGTTATGAACTATTAACTATTACATTCTAGTATTGTTTTAACAATAACAGCAAAGGAAATCCGTGAAGACATATCTAAAATTACAGCTGACTGAGAACAGGGAAACATAAATGGACTTCATGATGAAACATATCTATTATATATACTTAAATCAAATTTACAGCAATAAAAATAAAGTCTGAATTAAAGTCGCATTCCTTTTTTGACTGTAATCCAACCGTCGTCATCAGGTGTTTTATCGTATTCCATACGTTTCTTGAAATAATTTTGCAGTATTGCTTCCGAATCGCTTTTAGACTTTTGATAATCTGTTATCCATTCAGGATTTTTATTTAAATAGAATTCTGTTATCATGACAATAATCTAGTATATAATTTCAACATACCAGGAATGTTAATATTGTTCAAGTTGAACTTATAAATTGTATTCATTGGAGATGCTAGAATTTTTTCTACACATTCTGACTTATTAAATTCGAAAGCACATCGAGCCTCAGGCTAATGGATTTACAAGAGTTAATCATACAAAGTAATTCTGAAAACTTACCGGTGAGTAGCGTAGACTGATTATTTCACCAAATAGTTTAAAGAAATCGAATAATGACTTCTATAAAGTCCGAAATAAATTACAAACAGATTATCAAGTAATTACTGCATCCATTAAAGGGTGTACATTGTAAATCAGAATAGACTTTTTTCCTAATTTCGCTGCATACATAAAGTGAGTGATACATTCCTCCAAACTCACAGGAATCGCTACAATTATTCAAAACAGTTTAACGAATATACCATTGAGTGAAAATGGTTATTGTTAAAGGTTAGTAAATAATCAGTACGTATTGGTCTAAACATATACTGAGTATTACACTCAAATAATACTGGGATCCTCACATACTTGGAGATTCGGATTGGAAACAAAATTCACATTTACCTACGGAAATACGAAACATGCTCCCATCGAATTAGAAAGATGGACTAGATTCAGTAATTATGAACAGGCTGACGTTTAACAATATGAGCCACATCAGTAACCCATAAAATGACGATACTATCAAATTCCCTAAATTCTACGTACAGTGAGATGAAAATCTGCGATGCAGTAATCGAACGCACAGTCTGCAACAGACTGAAACAGCTATATTCACATCAAATTACGAAATAAGCTTGACGAAGTAAAACAGGTCTACTTCATCATACACTTTCATCAAGAACGAAGTTAACCGAATCCAAATAGCTTCAGTAACTAACTAAAGAACAGCTGGTTTAACAAAGGCAGACATCACCTTAAGCCTACCAGTTAGTCCTTTAATTATTAGTGGTTCATTCATTGTTTAGCTTGGCCTGTGTTCGCGGTAATAACATACAACGGCAACTTGATCTAAAATAGGCAAAGTAAGGAATATTTAGAAACTTCGGAATGGTAACTGGTTTAGATAATAAGCCTAACGATAAACATAGTATCTACAGAAATTAAAATGGTATATTAATGTATATTCTTTGGGAGATACTATGCGGTAAACAATCACCAATCAATAGGAAAAAATTTGATGACAACACATTTTTTATTTTGGAATATATATATTCATTCGACATCTAACGTGAATGCCACTATATTTCTGTCTAGTGGGTTGTAAAAATATCTTTAGCACATGATCTAAACAAATTCCTTTCCGAAATGCTCAGGAATCTCCGTGTTATAAGGTTTTCTATTAAAATACGGAAAGTTTTCTTAATAAAAGCACATGATCAAGTTTCTCTACTTCACCATAAAATAGACCTGAAATGGGAGCTAGTCACAAAGAGAGGAAGTTTGATAAACTCGATATACAGCAAAAGAACTAAATAGCTGCATTCGAAACTGTGAGATACTATTATAATGTCGTGATTGACTGATAAAGGAACTGTGGTGAAAAATTTGATTGAACCATTTACTCACTGAGAACATATATATTAATAACCTAAACTAAAGAACTTCCCAAGCTTCTTAATTGATAGATACTGGGGATTTCATCTAGCTAGACTCTGAACATGAAGGAAACTCAGATGTATATTAACTCAAAGTATATGTGATGATTAGTAACACTGATACACAATTCAAGGGGGAAGAAAGAAGGAGCGCTAACAGGTAACACTAGACAACTTATAATCAGTGATGAGATGGAGGTTGAAAAGTCGGTTGTTAGCAAAACAATCCCTGAAAAAGATTGAACTATTGTTTATTCTTAGACGATGAAACTAAAACGAAACGGGGAAAATTGCCGTCTGCCTCACTATGATCTTAAAAATCGGAAAGGCTAACCCGCATGTAAACAGACGTTTATTAATGATATTGAGAATGGTTTGGCAAAATGGTTTGCTGGGTAACTTAATTAATAAATCTTGAGGATTGCTTCCCGTTCACATCAGTCTGTATCACCGGGACACAATGAATATCGCTGTCACTTCGGATAGTGAGCTCGTTAGTCATGTAAGTGGAGAAAGTCAAGATTTATCTGTTTATGCACGATGATTTCCCAATCATAATGTGAATGGACAATCAAGGTTCCAATATAGAAAGGGAGCCTAGGGAACAACTACCATATTAAAGTCCTAAAGTAGATATACTCGCAAAAAGAACGGATTCGAGACTCAATGAAAGCTCTGCAATTCGAACGAGAACAACTCAACTCTTTTAGTGAAGATTGGTAGAGTGGTCTGGTCCTAACACTCTCGGCAACCTTAGTTCCAAATACATACATTCGAAATGTAATCAGAAGATTCACAGTTGGATCAAAGTCGCGCCCTTTCACCCTTTACGTTACCATCAGGATCAGTCTTTATCAAGAGATAGTGACCGCGCAGATATTCAGTCATCTGTAATAAACAAGCCGTTATAAGTTTAGTCTGACGTGTTAGTCATCTGGTGTGGGTACGTAAAGCCTTGAGTGGATGTCAGGGACGGAAGGTATCAATAATGAGCGAATTTTAACGCTCGAATTAGAGCAATATGTGAAATAATGGGCAATGAAAACTGATCTAAGTGAATTTCGTGATCTAGATAAATGGTTAAAAAGAGTACATGGAAAATCTGTATGGCAGATTTGGAAGTGAAATCTTGGGATTCTAGTGAGACAAACTACTATAAATGAGCTTGCCAAGAATGTTTTCACTAATCATGAGCAAATATTGGTCCTGAGAACTGCCAAATAATGTCATAATCCTGTATACAAACGATGATAGCAGGGAACTCAAGTCGGTAGTATCAGTCACAGAAAACCTCCAAGTTCTACCGACTCAGAGAGAGTAAGATTGATAAAATGAGACTAAAAGTAATAACGCGAACATAAAAACCAAGAAAACCTATTTCAGTTTGAATCAACCCGATAAGATACACCCGGCTATTAGACCATGAGGATCAACATTTTGACAGCTCCTTATTAGTTCGTTGGGTGGTAGAAGACTGAATTTCGATTGTTAGAATGATTGCACGTAAGATCAATTAGTCGACTCTACAGCGAAAATATAGTTTGAGCAGCCGGCTACCGCCACAATTCCACAAACACCAAAAAATACTTAACCTACAGTCGTCTGACACTTTGATGGCGATTACTATGCAAAAGACTACTGATCATTTATAGTACAACTTTAGACCAATACCTTTATCGTGTCTCGGCTCTCTGAGCTAGGACCATGTGTAGAAATGTCTCGATATATACAAATGTCTCGGAACGATCTAATCTTATTAATGAGAATTACGGAAACGATATACTAAATATCTCTAGGTCACAGTCAAGTTAAAAATGTAAGTTTCTTTGTTCATGGAATTGCTTTAGCAACACCTTTGGGGTAGATGTAGAAGAAAACACGAACACACCTTGACGAAGCGCAAAAACTCAAAGCGAACAATCCTTGACCTATCCAATATCCAATATCTTTCTCACGAGCTAGTATAAAGCAATTGATTTCTTCGCGCTCGATTCTTGTTCTTTCATTATGGTTCCAGGTGTTCGGTATTATCCAACGAATAGGGGTCGAGCCACTCGACTGTCTAGTTCTAGTCAGTTGGTAGTTGGTTGTGAGTTTGTATGTCCCAGGATTTGAATGAAAATGTTTGTTTCAGGGAAGTAGGGTTTCTGGATACCAGTAGCTATCATATTACCAAACCGGAGATCAGTTAGTTGCAATGTGGAGAGTAATAAGGGTAATAAGGATAAAATTCTAATGATAATATGAATAAAATTTCAGAAGTGAGTAATATATAGATGATTTAGTTTGGTAATTGGTAGTGAAGATTGTGAGAGAGGGCCGTAGTGTAAGCAAATGGGAGGGAACACAGATGAGAGGCGAGATAGTTTAAGTAAGTGATCTGAGGAGATGGCAATGATAACAACTAGCAGGTCTCAAGAAATGCATGATGAACAGCCTGTCCAAGAGGAAGATGATAATCCGTATGCGAGTACGTGATTATCAAGTCTCTTCTTAAAGCAGTCAACTGAGGGGGCTGTGTTCACCTCGGCTGGGAGAGCATTCCAAGTTGCGACGACTCGCAATGAGAAAAGTGTGCACGAATCTGAGTATTCGCTCTTTGATGTGCAATCTTTCGAGGATTGCCTCGAGGAGAGTGGTGGTGATGCATCGGTATGATGCTCACATTGGGATGGTTGGCGTGTTTAATATGGTGAACGCCATAATCAGATCGCCTCTGATTCTCCTGTAGCTCAGTGGAAATAATCTCAAGATCTGGAAGTCTATCGTCGTAGGGTTTATTTTCAACCTATCACCCATTTGGTTGCTCGTCTTTGCACTCGATCCAAGAGATTTACGTCTCTTTTAAGCAGAAGGGGTGCGATGACGTTGTGGACTTCCAAGTGTGGGCGCGCGTGCGTCTTAAATAGGGTTAAAAATAATTTCGGAGTGATAGCACCAACCAGTCTTCGCATAAAGTGAAGAGTCGCGTTTGCCTTGGCTGCATCTCCTACATAGTTTGGACTGGTGTGGAGGGGTTTCTGTGGTTATTAAACCGAGATCGCGCT